GTCCTGTGGTAAAATGTCTTGGGCATGTCTATAATGATAGGGATACAATTGTTGTTCTCTCATTATCCTCCATACTGTCATATGAGACATGTTATTTTGAACTGATAGTCGTCTTGTACTAAGTGTGGCGTTAGCTTCAACTAAATTTAAAATACTTTCCTCAATCAGGACATTTCTAATTATTCTACGCCTGCCTCTCTCAAAATTGTTCCTTTTTAACGTACCCCGTTCTCGTAAACGCCTTTCTGTGCAAAGAAATGTTTTGTAATTGGGCACATTTCTGTTGGGAAACTTTTCACCGTATCGTTGTGCGTCTGCTCTTGCGCTTCCATGACATTCACCTAACGTCAAAAGCATATCTACATACTCAGAAAATGTATACTGTTGCATTTTTGAATTATTTGATATTTTTATTTACTATAAAACGGCACTGGGAATACTCAAATGACACAAATTTGAAACTAAAAATACCTGACATTTCTGTTAACTGTCAGACCAGTTGTTTTCCCCATGGCACACTGCAATAATTAATTTATTTTGCTATGTAATGAGAGTTCATCACATCCTAGTGAAATTTAACAAGATAACCTTTTTTATGTTAAATACTTCAAATTTCAATATTTTCGAGTCAGGAACTAGAAAAAATTGACTACAAAAAAGATATGATTATATTTGTCCCTGGGTCCTGCATTTTCTCACGCCCCTGTAGCAAATTTTGAAATGTATTTTATGAGATTTATTAAGCACGTCAAGGTTAATATCTCACCAAAATTTCGTGACTTAATGTCGAGCCGTTTGGATGTTACGCATTAAAAACTGTTTCCGAGGTTACCCCTTTAGGAGAGCGTAGCTCCCTTAGGAGCCGCCACTGACAAAAATATTGTATTAAAGTTTTCGTTATTTTTCGACTTGTTTTATAAGCTCAGAAATTTTGAATACTTATTTCAGTTACACCTTGTATAACCGAAAGATGGGAAAAAATTAAAATCAGTTAACGTGTTTCGGCGTTTTAAAAAAATTAACTCATTCAAAAGATATGAATTTTATTCCGTACTTTTGGCCATCCCTCTATTGTTGGATTAAAAAAATTCTTTACCGGATAAAGCAAAGAAATGTATCATCTCATTTAAAAAAAATTGACAATCGGCCATCATTAAGATAGTCGTTCGGATAAAAAATGGCAGAGTTATAGTTTGCGGCATTTTTTTACTAGACATCCGGTGTATACCAACTTAGTTTGACGCATAACAATTTTCGAATCGATTTGTACATGAAAATCCATAACAATTTATGTGGAAAATGTTACAAAAGGTAAATCCAACGATCGAAATGACAGCGTGTGCTAAATCGGGATCAAGCTCAACGTATATATAATTAATTGGAACAGTTAGATCGTTATCTCACGCCTCTGACGTTGACATCGGGCGATTTACAATATAAATTTATTATGTGAACGTGTTGATTTTCATATTTATTCGTTTGTTCCAGCCTGACTATTACAGAGATGCCGCACACTTCCATCGGGTTGGAGATGGACCCGAATACCGTTTGGAGATTCCCAACGCCAAATTAGATTACACAGGCACATACACCGTGTACGCGAAGAACTGTAATGGGGATACCAAGGCGATCATATCTTTGCAGATAAAAGTCAGAGGTGAGTTTTTGTCGGCAAAAACACAAAATAATTCTTTTAACTTTTCTGAAGTTCTTAACCATAAAAACAACTGACCGTAAATGGTGTGTTGTATCTTCGTTAATTCACAGCCCCACAAAAAAAAAATATCGGATCTGGTATTCAGACCCATGTATTTCTATGTATTTTTTTTTGCGCTGAATCCGAATCTGCCTTCGGATTTGGCCGAACGGGTCTAAGTTTTCGGGAAAATTAAAAAAACAGGTCAAAATTCACAAAAAACGTAATTTACGATAGATGAAAGTTATAAAAAATCAAATTATTCTACCAGCTCACTAGACGTATGATTTTTCACTCGTTTAATTCTAATTTATCATCATAGTCAGACAAGCTGGTTCAATTTCATTCAAAAACAGAAAATAAATCAAAATGCTTAAAGCGCCATTTTCATGGCATAATTCGTGTTGTAGAGTTCTGGATACATCTTTTTATCCACCCACCCATTTATGAATTCATACATCTTTCTATCATCCACCTGTACCACCTATGAAACCCACCCATACACCCATCTATCCATCTGCTTTTTATACTGAGAGACGGAGAGATGAGATAACAGCCTAGAAGATTGAGAGTGCATTAAAACTTGTAGAATACTCTACTTTCTAAACAAAAGAAAACGAAATCTATAAATCATTCTTATTTTTGTTGCTATAACGTGTTCTTTTTTCTTCAAAGAATATATGCAAAGAGTTACGCTTTAGTTTGGTCCCTCTATTTTTCGCTTCTCTTTTTAACAACCTATAACTTTCATATCCTGATGAAATCGTTCGCCTTGTTCTTCGCTATAATCTCCAAGATTTTCAGGAAACCAATCCGTATGTGAATGAAAGAAGTGCAACTTGTAGTTCATCAAACATCCCAGATCTTGGAAGTCTTTTATCATTTTCGATACAATTTCTTCGTATTTAGGACTCTTGTTGTTTCCTAAAAAAAATGTTCACCCTATATAGGGCGAAAATTTCCGAATACTTCTGAAGCGAAATTGAAAGAAGGTGTATTCAATCGACCTCAGATTAGGACATTGTTCAAGGATGCAACATTCATCACTACAATGAGTAGTATTGAGAAGAGTGATTGGACTAGTTTCAAGTCCTAAATACGAAGAAATTGTATCAAAAATGATGGCTTCCAAGATCTGGGATGTTTGATGAACTACAAGTTGCACTTCTTTCATTAACATCATCAATATTTTAATTTATCTTTTTACTTAAGTATAGATGATTTTGTTTACTGTTTATTGACAAAAATAACACTCTAATTTTTTATTCAGGTCTTTGATAAATACATTTTTCAAATAATTTTGTATACTTAGTTCCGTTTATATTAGAAGTGAATTGAGTTCTTGACTTTAAATAAAGTGCTTACAAATAGTTTTTTAAAGGAAGCATTACGGGATCAAAAACTTTTGCTTAATGCAAATGTATAAGCCCAACCGTTTCTGGTTCAATTTTGCCTTGTTTTAAAAGGTTGTTCATTTATTTTCTTGTACTTGAATGAAATAATAATTACCCTTAAGAATTCGCTGAAAAACTTCCGCACAGAAGTACATCATTTTATCACTTTAGGATAATAACAGGAACGTCTCTAGAGCATCTAATATATAATCTGTAAAAAACACGGTGTGTGCACTTTATCAGGCCATTAGCATATTGAAATACTCATAATAGAAAAAATTATACAGTAGGATTCGCGCCAAGGTAAAAACTTTTAACTAGAAGAGACGTCATTTGATAATCCTGGACACATATTGTTATGAAAAAATAAAATATTTCTAATCACCACACCACTACTTTTTTTCACGATACAACAATGCCATATGGTATGAAGATGCCCCTCTGCAGGCAGAGACTGACAGTATTTCTTCCCAGTTTGCGTTCGACAGACCTTACACATCAGGAGACAGGAGAGAATGTAACGTCTTCACAGGCGGATCAAAAAGGAAGGAAGGTGCAGGATGTGGAATATACTCTAGATCCTTGCACATCCGATATCAGTGGGCAATGGATAGGCATGCTACCGTGGTACAAAAGGAATTAGCAGGTAAAACCATAGCCGCTAAAGAAATTGACCTTAGACACACTACGGTCAGAATCTAGAATGACTAGGTCGGTATGGGAATGCCACCAGACCCTAGTCGTGACCTTATCATATCTGTATGTTGGGCCAAAGGACATGAGCGGTGCAATGGAAATAAAGAAGCTGACAAGCTAGCCAAGACTGCATCGGGTCACAATATTTTTGGACGCGGTCGCTCTAGTGTGCTTCCGCTATCAGCACTTGTTGATATTATAAAGGAAAACATCCACAAAGAGTTTATGAAAAGGTGGGATGAAACAAATGTCAATTTGCTAAGGAGTTTCAAGAATATCCTAGCAAGGATACACCTTTTGTTTAGGTCAAAACTTCGCTTGGCGACAGGTATTTAAACTGGACACAGCTGGCTAAGGAAACACCTTCACTACATGAGGAAGTGTGAAACAGCTCTTTATAGGGGTTGTGAGCAGGAAGACGAGACGAGAGAATCCGTGTTGGGCGAACGTTCTATTGGAGAAATCCCTCTGAGCAAGGTTCCCACCTTTTTCTTTTTAATAGGTTGGTTAGCGTCTGAGATAGATTGATCTTCTAATGGAAGAAGTATAAAGGGCCCAATGGGGGCCTAAGTACCGTAGCTTTTAAGCTTCCAAAACCTTCGAATGAAAAATTGTTATCTGTGGCGGTGGATGAACATGCTATCAGAATCCTTAGGCCCGCCCTGATATTCATTTCGGTTCTTATTGTTTGTTCTATAGATAGAACTGCTCCTCAGACAATTGTGATCCCCTGTGGCCTCTATAACTGGTCGCATCCAATGCTTCCAAATGTTTCTCCGTTCCTCCGTTCTTCAATGCTGGCGTCTTCAGTGGTGATTACAAATGCTTCACCGCAACTGAAGTCGCCAAGAGATAACCATAAAAACCATGAAAGCCTTAAATCCACTATTAAAGACCGACAATAATCATTTGCAGAATCAAGAGCTCAATTGCATTTATATTCTAATTTGTCTTTAATTATAAATTCTAAATCATTAACGTATAATATTAATAAACTAGGACCTGTCACAGATCCCTGTGGAACTCCCTTAAAACTACTAGAAAAACTGATAATGTTTTCCGTTTTGATTATGAATTAAATTTGTTGAAATTTTGAGAAACTGAACAATCTCAGCAACTTCTGAAATAAATATCAGTAATGTCATCCTTTCAATCTTTTTAAATTATGTATTTATATTTCAGATCCTAAAATGCCAACTGGAACAATGGACAAAAAGAAAATTGGGTAAGTTTGTCTAGCTCCTATTAAAATTGCGCTTTTATTACTCTCGATTAAATTTTAGTGACGTACAAACTATACCAAAAATATTAATGGACCTGCGTGATATACGCTGTTGCGATGGGGATGCTGCAACAATGGAATGCAAAGTAGAGGCAACTCCTGCTCCTGACATAAGATGGGAAAAAGGAGGGAAGGTAAGGAATTACTTTTTCTAGAAGTGCAAAATGGATCTTTGTTGTTTAGGTACAAAAAAAAATCCAGAAAACAGAAATTATAAAGAAAGTGTGGCACATACTTAATTTCTTTATTTTTTTTTCTAGAAATTCAATTTGGAATTAGAAGTAACAGTTTAAAAAAAAACAGATGTAGAGCATTTTTATGTGAAACAAATGTTTTGTTTTTTCAAATCATTACTGTAATGAGTAATGTGTTAAACTCCTGTTGGAAATATACCCTCTCATAAAATAATAAATATTAAATAAATGTAAATAATTTCGCATTTCTTTGAAATTTTATGACAAACAGCAGCAAAAAATACTAGGAAAATTACAAGGTTTATTCTTAAATATATACAGAAAAAATACTGTCATGGAAATTCATACGATTATACTAGTAACACAAATGGTGTCAAAATTTAACATTCACGTTATGATAAATTTTGCAATTGAGATTTTTTCTTTGTTTGCATTTTGCCACCTGCTTTTTAAGTGTTATTTTTAGATTAATTGATTGAGGTTTTTGGTAAGGGAAATCTGTTTTCGTAAAAATAACTTTTGACTGATCTTTTTGGACAAGAGTTTATTTCATTAATTTTCAAATTTTTTGCGTAGGTGGCAAGTATTCAACAAACAAAGAATAAAAACAAAGTGGATGCCACGAATGAATAACTTCAGACAATCATGTCGATTCTGTTTGAACATAGCAATATTGTTTATTGTCATTTTAAAGAGATCTGGTTCTCTGGTAACAAGGTCCTTAGATTGTCTATTCTGTTTAACAAATTTTAACAATATGATATGTTATTGTAGCAAGTTCTTGTTATCAAATATAGTTATCTCAGCAAACTCATTTCAGGGATTTTTATCAATGTGAAAGGGCATTAATTATAATTAAAATGACAATAAATCCTGAATTTATTTATTTTCAAATTAATTTTTTTGAGATTAAAAATATCCTTAGCCAGTAAGTATCTTATTCCATCACTTACGTCAGCAATATAAATCTATTAGAGATACAACGAACTACCCAACGAAAAATTTATGAAATTATTTTGTTTAAATAAAACAGGAACTACAGAATTAATTCAAGATATTGATATAATGTAGATAGAAAAAAGTATAATAATTATTTAGGTTCTTAAATAAAGGATTTCTATTTCCAAATATAATTGGTGCAATAGATTGTACACATATAGCTATAGTTTCCACAAAAATAGATCATCCAGTGACTCCAGCAGTAGCTTACTTAAAAAGAAAAGGATTTTATAGAAGACAGCAGCAAGTTTATTATGCCTTTAAACTACAGTACCCCATTAAATTTTTTTTCAGATATTCAATAAATATTTATTTATATAAAAATATATAACTAGTTAGTGTCAATACTTTTCTCTACCTAAATACATCTAAAGATGTTTAATACACGTATGAAAATAGTATTACTAGATATATGTATAATGTATCACAGAGCTATATCAGAGTTTGTAGCATCTTAGTTTTTTGAAATTGCACCCACTGCTTTTGAAAGTGCTGCTGCGAGTTAACAGATGGCATTTGCCATTTCCAAATACACATATGTATAAGTTTTTATGCAGAAAACAGGAAATTTTAAACAGTACATGACACACTTGCGCATTATACAAATATATTGTAAATTTTAGGTTCACCGGTTATTGCGATATTGCCAAATGTGTCCGAACTTTGAAAAATTACGTATTCTAAACAATATTGTTGTCATTGTAGCTTTGAGCTACTTGTTATAAAGGTTTAAACAGAATATGGGTGTAAAAAGTCATCTTGTTATAATTTACATTTTTAACAATATGGTTTATAAAACAAGATTTTGGGCAATAAACTAACAGAATCAACCCGAATATGAGAAATCATTACCAACAAATTGTAGATTTTCTCAAGTTTTCAAACAATATTGTACAAGGTTAGTCTCTATAATCTGACAACTTATTGTGAGTTTATTATTGAAGTTACAAAAAGGTTTTTATGAATTTTTATAATACAGTATTAGAAAAAAACAATTGAATAATGAAAACGTCTAGATTAGAGTATTTTTTTTAATGGAACACCCTATGTATTAGTGCATATTTAGCTTCGTTAAATTTTTCTCTTTTCAAAAATATATAATATGTTACTGTTTGATTCAGAATTTTTCGACATATTTCAGTTTAAACTATTGTTGGAGGGAAAATGTCTGACGGATCGCAGTGGCTATGGACGAGGTACGTGGAACATACAAATGACTTTGACAGAAGTTTATTTATCATCATTAATTCATTAATTTATTTCTTATAACAAACTATTTTAACAAAGAAATAATGTTAAGTGAGAACGAAAAATTTGAAGTTATCCGATTATTTTATAATAATAAAAATCATTATTAACTTTAATAAGTCTTAACTTTAACAGAATTTTAATACCTAATTAATAAAAACCAGCTAAAACACAAATGGTCACAAATGCTCAATGTGACCGCCATTATTGATAGACTTCGTATAATCCTCATTAATTTTCAGAACTGCATTTAGTATGAAATGGGAATTAAATTCACTCCAATTTTGTATACATTGATCAACTTTATGTCTTAGTTCATCTAAGTTTACACTAGTTTCCTTATAAACCTCGTTTTTTAAGTAACCCCAAAAAAACTGTCCAAGTAAGGTCTGGGCTATTTGAAGGCCATTGAATATTTCCTCCACTACCAATCCATAAATCAAACCTATTATTTAAATAATTGTGTACTGCTCTGGTTCTATGCGGAGGCTCGTCTTGGTGCCAAATTAAATTGGTAGTCGATCAGCGGCAGGTCTTCCAATTTGTTTTCTATTTGATTTTCAAGAAAATGCAGGTATGTTTCCCCAGTCAGAGCACCTTCATAAAATACTGGACCAATGATTTTATTTCTCAATACACCGCATCAAACATTAAACGATGTGCGTCCTCGACTTGGAATTTCTCTATTACAGCGAGGATTTTCATTTGCCCAGGTTATGAGTATTTTTTCTATTCTAAATGCCAGCTGTTGTAAATGTAAATGTTGTAAAAATCTTTTCAAAATAGTTTAAGTGACCAATTTTCAAACGCAGCATTTCTCTGCTGTACTCTAATCGCTGAATTTTTTGATTTTGGGTAAGTTTGTGGACGGGCGTAGTTTTATAGGGGCGGTATTTATATTTATGTAACGTTCTAATAATTCTACTTTGATTTATTTCTAACTGTCTTGAAGCATTTACTGTGGACTCTTATGGCCTTTCTACAATAATTTAATATTTGAATTTACCATGGTAAACCTCGAATGAATATTTGCTTACCTTGAAAATATAGCAATATAGTTAGTTCTAATTCTTCATTTGGAATAATTCTTCGTTTCTGTCTTTCAAGTGATTTTGTTTCTTTAAAGCGTCGCTCAATGTCGTAAAATGCATCTCGAGATGGAATTAGTATCCTGGGATGCAAACAAGCTACTCGGCTCGCGCTGCATTCACATTATTAAGTATTATTCGTGTAAAATAAACGATAACCTCAAATTTTTCGTTCTCACTAAACATTATTTCTTTGTTAAAATAGTTTATTATAGGAAATAAATTAATGATGATAAATAAACTTCTGTCAAAGTCATTTGTTTGTTCCGCGTGATTCGTCCATAGCCACTGCGATCCCTCAGATATAAATTTTTCTACTGTTTTTCCAAAAATAGTTTTAAACTGAAATATGTCGAAAAGTCCTGCATCAGACAGTAACATATTATATATTTTTGAAAAGAGAAAAATTTATCGAAGCTAAATATGTACTAATATATAGGGTGTTCCATTTAAAAAAAATATTTTTTCTTTGATTTAGTGATTTCCATTATTCATTTGTTTTTTCTAATACTATATTATAAAAATTCATAAAAAAGCTAAAGCTTTGCATTAAAAACTTTTTTGTAATTTCAATAAACTCACAATAAGTTATCAGATTATAGTGACTAACCCTGTACAAAAAAGTTTGACAAAATATGTGCATGTACTTCAGTTGTGAGAATTTTCATGACAGTATTTTTTGCGTGTGATCTAATCAATAATACAAGGGCGTTTTCAATTGAATTCGATATCATTTCTTTCTGAGAAACTATCAGAGATAGTCTTTTATAAGATAAAATTTGAAAATATTTTCATTACCTCAGTACTTTGGAAGGTTTTCTGAAACACGTATCCGTAGGTACCTAAAGTAAAGGATTTTAGTTGCCACATGAAAATGAAAATGACATATTCATAAGCATATTTTCAGTGCCGTCATTTAATCTTTTTCAATTATTTTCAACTTAATATTTTCTTCATAATAGTCTAATAATAAAGTTATCAGTAATGTCTTCAATCGGAAAAGTATTATCACTTCTAATCTACCTAGTGCTTGAATTATTTCCGGAAATATTTTCGAAGGAACGTATTTTTTGAACATTTTCTAGAAAAATTGAGGAAAAATTTCCGCACATTAATTCAAGGACGTGGGGGATTCGGTAAGAAAATTTTACAATCAAAATTTATTTTAAAAATTTGACATGTTTCATTTTGAAACTTACTTATTTCGCCAAAATAAAGTTGGTTTGACAGGTAGACATTTTTTTGTGGTGCATGACACATTTTTTTCTTCTTAAACGTCACATAATCTAATAGCATTTCAGGCGTTTTTTTAAATTCAAAAATGGCTCGTTTTGGAAATAAAAATTCCGAAAACATAAAAACAACACGTTCCTTTCACTTTAGTAATAAAAAAAGCATTTAATTTTTGAATTCAGATATTTATATTTGCAGTATAATTCACTTAGTAAGGTATTACTAAAATAGAAGGAAAGTAAGTTTTTGTAGAAGAGTGATGTCAATAGCAGTTTATCAATGATTCTTAAAAAATCATAACTGCAATCAAGTAGGCTTAGGCTTGTGATGTCAAAATCGTCTTCGCTATACGTCACGTTGACAGTCATTTTCTCTAGGTTCTAATTGTTTATAATTAAATCATGGCAGTGGACAACCAAAAAACTAATTTAAAACCTTATAATACCTATATGTAATTCTTGCACCAAAATATAGGGGACATTCTTATGTCTCATAAAAATTTAAAGTATTTGCCATATATACTGAAAAAAACTGGAATTAGTGCGCATCAAGAAAACCTTTTCGCAGCTATTCAAAAGATTTCGGAGGAAGATATCCCATCTTTTTTACGTAAAACCAGGGCTCAGCAGAACAAAATTTCATCAAATTATTACATATATTTTATGAAACACAGACATCTGATGGAAATGAAAATTAAAGGTAATAATTATGCTCCTCGTTACTCTCCGTTGCGAAGAGAAGAGTTCCAGCCAGAACTTCAAAAACATTTAGCGTTAATAGAAGAAATCTAGGAATAAATATTTGATAAATAATTATTTGTATCTATTTATTATTTTAAAATAAATAAAAACATTACAAAGCAAAATTCTGGATAGGTACTGATTTTTGAACTGAACTGATTTTTGAATAGCTGACAAAAAAAATTTCCACTTATTAATTTTGTTTGCATAGCTTGGCAGAAGGAAAAAAAATCCGAAAAATTTGAAGGTTGCCATGGGCAACTGTCGAAATTACAGTATGTAATTGGCTTAAAATGACAAGTTTAAAATTTTCAATATAATTTTTGCGTTTTGACATTTTCTGAGTGACTGACGTTTCTGGAGACAGTATTATGCTTTTAGCTTGAAACATTTCTACTGATTTTTCAAAATATTACATCTAACAATCGACCAAGCATATAGAAATCATTTTATTTAAGCTGATTTGATGAACAGTTAGTGAAAATAGTTTTATGAAAAATAAATGCAATGATAAATGTGCGAGACACATGCGAACACATAATTTTTGATCTGGTAGTAAATTACGTCACCTACAGTTTCCCCTCAAAGCTATTCCTTCTAATTTATTCTTATTCTCTAACGGCACAATAAGTTCTTTTAGTATAACACATAAAAAATAAGAAAATAAGTAGTTTCATCGCCAGTAGTAGTAGTAACACGTGGAAGCAAACAGGTTACATAATAATATATTCACTTATTTGCAGCTGATCCACTTAGGAGGAGATTTCAATGCCGAGTTCGATGGCGAAACTGCCAGGTTGTCTATAAATCAAGTTTACCCTGAGGATGAAGGAGAATACACATGTGTAGCGTATAATGAACTAGGAAAGGCGTTCACATCCGCCTGCCTCATAGTGGACAGTAAGTAAAAAATAAATTTTTCAGTATCTATTTATTCGGTTAGATCTTATATACACTAAAACCGCTGTATCCTTTCAATTGCGTCACAAGCAATATTTGTATGCACTAAGACGAAAAATCCTAGTCAAATTAGTCACTGTTCATATAATTGAAATGTCATCTTGACAATTTCCAAATCTGGATATCTCATCAAATTTTAATACTGGTTTCACTGGTTCCGAAAATATGCCAAAAAATCGATATTTCAACGCTCAGAAAATATAAACAACAGTTAGTACGGAGACGCCATCAAAACAACTGTCAAATTTTTGACCTGAGTGTTAGTTCTGTTTTGTTTTAACTGATGCGGTAGTCAAACTACAGTCTAAAATTAATACCCAACAAACGTCCACCATTTTCTTTCACTCTGATACACATACAATATTGGAACGATTGTCTGTGATAGACTAAGACTATGAAGACATTTATACCATCATCTCTTTTTGGAGCGTCTAACATAAAATTAATTCATGTCTGTAACGACTATCTTTGATATTAGGACACAATCTTGAATCGGTTCTATTGTAGGTTATCAGCTTCTTTACGTAAAAATTAATAGTAAAAAAATAAACAGATGCAAATTTCTAATGTACAATTTTATTTTCTAAAAATAATGTACTCTTGTTAGAATTTCCTAATGTGGACGGTTTTCGAGAAAAAAGGCTTTTGAACTCTTACAATATTACGGTGAAGAAAATATGCGACTTTTCTCGAAGTAGGCTTATGTCAAAACTTATAAATGGATGTCTCATAAACAACGCATACATTCTCAGTAATATTTTAAACTCTAATTAACTTTATATCAAAATTTTAGTGATTGTTAGTGACTGCAGTTAGTAATGACTAATTACAGTCACTAAAGTTTTGATATAAAGTTAATTAGAGTTTAAAATATTACTGAGAATGTATGCGTTGTTTATGAGACATCCATCAATAAGTTTTGACATAAGCCTATTTTGAGAAAAGTCACTTATTTTCTACACCGTAATATTGCAAGAGTTCAACTAAAAGCCTGTTTTCTCGAAAACCGTCCGTATTAGGAAGTTGTAACAAGAGTATATTAGTTTTAGAAAATAAAATTGTACATTAGAAATTGGAGCCCGAAAAACCTAACTTCAAAAAAATTACAACTTAAAATGTAATACGAATGTAGCATAACTAGCGCCCTCTATAAAACATACAAAAAATAATTAGATCAGCGTATTTGGCGTCCTTAACAACCCCGGAATACCAAATCTCATAAAAATATTTCGCACCGTTTGGAAATGTCGCTCTCTATCTCGAAAATAAGAGGAGATAGACATATAGTTCATAAGACAAAAAAATTCTTATTTTTAGTCGTACTATCACCCCTGAATTTACGGGAGGTCTTTCTGAAACACCCTGTATAATTAAGAAACTTTGAACTAGCTAATTAGAAGATGAGCACATTATAATTATCAGTAATCTGAACTGATGATAAGAATCTGCATTAATCTGAATCTGTTGCTGGCACCGTCAAAATTGCCAAAAGAAAAAAATGTAAATTACCTTACATGCCTGAATGAGTTTTTTAAAAATATTAGATTCCCTTAAATTCAATATATTCACTTTCTTTGAAACACGTTATATACTCGCATTATACAAAATTGGTATTTTAATTCACACTTAGAACACCCTAGTTGAAATTTACTTTTCTTGTTTATTTAGGATTGGTTTTAGACCTCTGAAGTAATGTTTAACTAAGAAAACTTATATTACGCCCAGCTTATTTACACTTATTATGAAGTAACAAGAAAAACTTAAACCCAAGTTTAAGTAAAATTAGCGAGGCTTCTTTAAAAATATTTTTTTTTCGTTTATCTTATTAAAATTTAAGTAGAAGTAGTCAAGTAGAAGGAAATGAGTCGATAAATAAATAGAGCAATGAAGAGTTGTGTAAAAGTTTTAGAAAAATAAACAGACTTATAAATAAATTATCTAATTTCGGTCCATAAAATTTTTTAATATAAAAATCATTTGAAGATTAATAAAATATTTTTTATTTTGACCAAGAAAGGGGAAGGTAACATGGAACACAGATTTTCCTTATCTAGGAATCTTTAATTTGCTATTGTCGTTCTTGGGCTAGGTTCTGTGGTCGCGGGATTGCTATCAGTACTTTTGGTTCTAAGGCCGCTGAAAATGCTGACAAACAATTAAGTATGTACAATAAATACAATAGACGATTATCTATCGTATATTGATTAATTTTTGGTGAAAAAAAATAAAATCTACTTAACTGCATATTACTGGACAACACTAAAGACATTATTAAAAATATTCGTTAAGGTACCGCTCGGGACGCCACTGGACTTAACAAATCTTATCAATTTAGAGTTAAATTATGCTCTTAACACTACAAATAATACTGCCAAATTGCAACAAAATTGGGTAAAGAGTGTTTAAGATATTTACGTAATAACAATTTTTTTACAAAAGTTTAACAACATCCTGTACATTGAAAACAAAGGATCTGCGGACTAGTATTTATATGAACTTTTTGTCTTAAAATCACTCAAATAATCGTCTGTTGAATTTATTGTACATACTTAATTAATACCCTGTATTTGTCACACATAAAACTTCTATTGATTGGCCTAACAGAAAACATTGGTGCAAAAATTCACATAATTCTTCCTAAAATCGCGACAAGACCATTTTGTATCAAACCTTCATACAATATTGTTTAAGAATTTGGGAAAATCTACAATTTGTTGGTGATAATTTCACAATTATAAAAGTAAACGCTATATAAACGTCGGATTTTCCTATAATTTGTTGTTGTCACAACTTTAGAGACGATTGTGTGAATTTATATGACAATGTTTTTCCGTGTGTATTGTATTAATTACACCAGCCAACAACAAAAAAAGTTATGTGAACTTCACATGCAGCATATGATTTCCTGTGTGTTTTTGTCTCCGAAAATTTTCTAAAGATCTTCAACTTTTTGAAAACTAGAGGGTTATGGAGTAATTCTGACAACGGATTCGGAAACTCCGTGGAAAATTACGTCGAAAAACATGTGTCGCATATCAAGATCTCGTCACTTCCTAAACTCCATTTTACTGAAGACTTTTAGCGATTTTCTGAAGGTATTCAGACTGTGGATTCGTGCTCAGGAGACACAAATACACAGGAAGTCATATGCCGTATGTAAAGTTCACATAACTTTTTTTTGTTGGACGGTGTTAAATTTTATAGTTTTTATAGATGGTCTTTTTTCGAAAATGGTATTCCCGAAACCTCTAGGTATTCCATAAGATCCTTATCTTTTTATTTAAAATTAAAAAGTATCACTTATTTTACTATATCTAAATTAACATTAATATTCTATTTTTTTCCAGTTCCAGAGGAAAAAGAGAGTCTGATCAACCAACAGCTTAGACGACCATCCGGCTTCCTGGATGGATCAACCCCGATTTCCACGCCGCGTACCACTCCCAATAGAAGCGTCTCCCCTCGGCCCCGGTACAGGGAAATCATCTCTACAGAAACCAGAACGCGCAGAATGCGAGCAGCAGCTCCGAAATTCTATGCCTACCCACATAACCGAGTAGCGGAAGAAGGAGAAACCGTCCGTTTCCAGTGCGCTGTTGCTGGCCATCCGGATCCATGGGTTACTTGGGAAAAGGATGGCGAGATCGTGACGCCTTCTGCCAGGTTGAAAATAACCGAAAACGAGGACCTTAGGACGCTAGAAATCAGGGAAGTGACGCCTAGCGATTCCGGCGTCTACAAAATAATCCTTGAAAACGACGTTGGTAGAGTGGAAGCCTCAGCAAAATTAGACGTAATCGCCCATAGACAAGTCTCAGCCAGAGGGATTAGAGCACGAAGTTTGTCCCCGAGGAGCACCCCAACGTACTCGAGAGGCCTTATAGGGGCATCTGCCAGGTACGGAAGCAGAGCTCGTCTTTACTGCGATATCCGCGCCGTGCCCACGCCTTTTCTAAGATGGTACAAAGACGGAATTCCTTTAGATGATTCTGAAAAATACAAGAGCGCGTACGATGGAAAAGTAGCTTCGCTAGAGATTGACAACGTGACTTGTGAAGACGCTGGGTTGTACACTTGTGTGGCCAAAAACAAAAACGGGTCTGCGGAAACTTGTGCGCAACTTGAAGTGTTCAGGGAAGAAAATCTTCCGCCAGAAATTATCGAGGGATTGCCCAAGAGACTAAACGGAATGGAAGGCAATCCGGTTACGATGAAAATCAAGGCCATAGGGTCACAACCCTTCGATGTGGTGTGGATGAAGGACGGTTGTATCTTGCCCGACTGCGCTGATTTTCGTCAAGTTCATAGCGATGACGGGAGCATTAGTCTGCATTTACGTGACGCTTATCCCGAAGACGCTGGCAATTATAGGTGTGAAATATATAACGTGTATGGAGATGCCTTTTCTACGTGCCATCTTGTAGTCCATGGTAAGTACCTAATTCGAATCTCGCATTTTTCGATGTTTAATGGTCAAGTTAAAAAGCAAATCGACTGTGATTATTACATTTTATATGCGACTATTTCGATGTTTGGTTTGTAGCCCAGTAAATGAAATTTGTAATACATGTAATTCGTTTCAGATTGAAACTTGGTTTAATCGTTAGTTTGGGGTTTTTAGCAAAAATAAATAATATTTCCCAAAAAGTATCGGTTTAAAACAACAAGATCATTGTTTAAACAATGATTATAATGTAAAAATTACCAAAAATTGAGTTTTTTAGCAGTATTAAAAACCGCTTCCTAACAGAAGTTTTTGCTTTTGTTTATACTTATAGGTTTTCAAAAAAACGCTTCATTTGAGACCTGCTAAATTAAAATCCATTAACAATTTGTTTAAATAATTGCAAAAAAACAGCGAAATTTGAATTTGCTATGTAATTAAATAGAAGAAAATATCATAAATTGCCTCTAAATTGCAGTAAAAGTTATATTTTGTTAAGGCGGTTTTCCACTAAACGGACAAAACAAAAACAAAATACAAGTTTGTGTCGAATAAAACAGAACTGTAACTTTTCGCAAACTTTTTGAAGACAGGGCGTTTTGCGACAGTTGGAGTTTTGTTTTTCGGGTCTCGCTCAAAAGCGGTCACATCAAATGGTTTCGACGTGTTTTGAAACTCAAGTCTGTTTAGAGGAAACGGTCCTGTTGTGTTTTCTATTTAAGTGATCCAACCCAATATCTATGTCGGCGTTTTCTTCTTCCCAAAAACAATATTTTAATCATTAATGATTAATAGCTATACTATTAAAAAATATATATAAGTACGGTTATAGTATTTAATTGACTAGGATACAAACTAACCAAGTAAACACTTTAACCGTAGATATACCACGAACTCAATCGATGGATATCTGGGAAACCGCTCGAAGGATTTTTTTGAAATTGTGATGGTGGATACGGACTGTGGGGCCTACCAAGCTAAAATATTTTCAAGGTCATCGTATTTCCGGTTATACCGAAAGCTAATACTAACTTGCTTATTTTAAATGGAACCTTCTGTATATTATTGCAAAAAAATTAGGGATTTTCATTTAAAAATTTCGAGTTTTCCACATATTCTGAACTTCATATTCGATAAAATTTTTTTGACCACCCTGTATAAGAACTGGAAAATTTTCATGTCAAATTCGATAAAGTAGGTCTTCCTCTACAAAATGTCCAATTTGCACAAAAAAATTAACTGGGAAAACTAAATTTTGCTGACAGTCTGCATCTCTCAATTTTTGTTTAAAAATATAAATATCTCGGAAACGGTCAATCCTAAGTATGGAGTGTGCTATATGTTTTCAACTTAAAAATGGATGATGTTTCCAAAAATGCAATAATATAAAGAGGGTTCCATTTAAAATAAGAAAGTTAGTATCGACTTCCGGTATAACCGGAAGTACGATGAGCTTGAAAATATTTTCACACCATCACAATTTCAAATAAATCCTTAAAGCGGTTTCCCAGATATCCATTAAGGTGGGACACTCTGTAGACCCTTACTTTTATTCCAAGGACTTCAGTATAAACCAGCCATAACTAAGAATAAAAAAATTTTCTCTAAACATGTTGGTTAGTTATTGGAAAAATGTGCACTGACTTCCTCGCGACAACCAGTGGAAAAGGACCGAAGACAAAAACAAAACTCGAACAAAATGTAGCCCGCTTGATGGAAACAAGAGTTTTGGCTTTGTTTCAGTTTTGTTTTTGTTTTTCAGGTTCTAGAAAACAGAAAAAGGACATAAACTCAACTGTCCGTGTAGTGGAAAATCGCCATTACGCTTAAGAAACCCTAAAAAGTTTTTGCATTTGTTTATTAGAAATAGCATTTTTTCAATTGCAAAAACGCGGTTGTTAGCATTATAATAAAAAGCCTTATGAGGGCTCATTTGTTTTGTCTTGACTTATATTTTCAAGATATGCAATTGGAAATTGTAATTTCATACGCTAACCTCCTCAAAACAGCGTAACTCCTTGTTTTTTTTATCTAAATAGGACAGCATTCTACTGTGTAGATTCTGGGATATGGAAGCGTAAAGTTAATAATAAATAATTTATAGCTTATAATCATAATCCTGAAGTCAAAAAAAAAAAAAATGGTTTTATAGCTAACTACAAGTACTACTTTCAATATCCGTTTAGTGCATTTTCGGCAGATAAAAGAAAAATCAAGAAAGGGACCGTGGTCACTGGAATTTCTCAGCAGAGCGAGAGTGAGGATGACTGAGAGCAGCTGCGCTGCTGCGCGCCGCATGGGTTTCAAAATGCGTATGCGCGATAAACGATGACTTATCGGGAACGGTAGCACTTATCAAAGCGATTTTTTTTTAATTTGATATAGCAAAATGAGAGGAATACGAATATTTTTTTGCATTCGATTGTCGGCTGCATAGAAAATTCCCTGGGCAATTAATAATTGTTTATAGAGTAAAATGTAAAATTTTTAAAAAGTTTCTAGGGTGGAATTGACATATGTTTTTGACATATTTGTTCACAAAGTTTCTTCAATATTTATAAATATTTGCTTATTTTAAAAATTGCTCCAAATATACATATGATTCTCTACTATTTTTCGCCCATTGTTAATGCAAAATTCATTCATAAAGAATGACTTTTTTTATTTAGGGCTTAGTTTCAATGTTACAGGGAAAAATATTTCGAGAAACGGGTTATTTCTAGTACTTTTTGTATGTTTGTTGTTCCCCTGAATTTAGCATTGGTTTTTTGGAATAGGCACACTCGGATTCTTATTCTACATAATATTTGGGATTTTTCTGTACAACAAAATAGATGACTTCAAACACAAACGCCAAAGCCTACTTTTACTGCTCTATCGCTTGGACTACCAACGTATCAGAGGTTTTGACAACAATGTTTTCGATAACACGATTATTTTTATTTCATAATTGTTTAGAAATACACATCCTGCGTTGTCACGATGTAATTAATATGCTGTGTTATTTATTTACAAGATGATTGCTTGAGTTATCATTATTTAGAAAATAACTTCGCATCACGATACTTTTTAACCAGAAATTAAAACTATACACCAAATTTGAATCAAATTGTTTAATTCCTTTTCTTGTAATTAAAAAAAAAACAAACTTTTATGAGATCCCAAAGATATTCACTTAAAATAAATGGTAGTAAGTATCAGTTCGTAGTATTTTCAAAGTTATTAATGCCAATCTTTTGTTAAAAACAGGACCGTAAAAGGGCGAAGTTATAACATACGACGATTTTTACGAAAGACATGGCATAGTTCCAAAGATAAATTGTATCGGTTAAATGCTACTGTCAATATTTACATATAATTCTTAGAGGTGACAACAAACGTCCATACCCTTGAAATTCAAATAAGTTTTGTTCAGTTGTCATAGAATACAGATTCTTTCAGTTTGCACGAAATCAATTTTTTTATTATATCTACTTAAAAGAGTATAATACTTAACTAACTACATTTCAACATATCTATTGAACTGTTGATCAATTATTGCAATCAATCACTAGATATTAATTATTTAACTTTACGTAAAGTTTATTATGTTGATTTCGTTTTTCTGTAAAATGAAATAAGTTCGATTATGTTTGTCTTTAAAGTTTTAATCACTTTCTGATGCAGAAATAGAAACTAATCGTTATATGAACTCTTCGAATTATCATTTATTTTCAACGGTGAGACCTTTATTTCTTCTCGCCACATGTGAAATAAGATTAACTGATAATTATGTCAGTATTTAATTGAATGTTATGTTTGTTTGTCATCGAGTAATCCAATATCCCACGCCAATTATTCTAATACAATAATCGTAAAATCTAACTAGCTTGATATCTGCAAGTTTCAAATTTCTAAACGCAATTCGCAGAACAATTCCTTATGTATTCAAGAATCAATTTGTGGATTACGCAAAGATAAAGTGATAAAGAAGTAAATTCAGGAGTTCTACAAAAATTAACCAGTTAATATTCACTAAGTGTTTCTAATAGAAAACTTATTCATGGTATGGAGCAACGAGCTGACAATAAACATAAATATTTAACTAATTTATATGGAAATTGTAGCTATCCTAAAAATAGACATACGTGATGCCTTTTAGAATAAAGATAATGGTGGTATTGGATAAATCTAACACTAATTTTAATCTATTGTAATTTCCAGTAAGGGTTTCAATAAAGTTTCCAATATAAAGTATAGAGTATCCCAAAAATAACGCAGGATTTGAATTGTGCGCTTGGCAGCACTGCCGAGTCATGTGTTGTAGTAAACACGTTGCAGTTAGACAAAATGGGACTCTGTACGACGGTCGAGCGAGTGGAGATTGTGAAAATTCATTACAAGTACGAAGAGTGTGTAGATGAGACTGTGCGCAAATTACGTGGAATTTTCCATAGAAGGAACGCTACGAATGAAAGAACTATGAAAATATTAGTTGCTAAATTTGAACAAACAGACAATAAAAAGACAGGCCGAAAATATTGCTACGGTGAGTGATCAGTGCGGCATCGGTCATTGCAATTAACATTTCAAAAATCACAATGGAGTGGATTTGAACAAAAGATCTGCATCCGCATCCATCCAAGATTCAGCTAACTCAGAAATTGAAACCAGACGATCATTTAATGCGCCGGATATTCGTTGATTGGTTGTTGGAGAATCAACAAATGGACGGTGACTTCGCTAAGAAAATTATCTTTAGCGACGAGGCGCATGTCCATCTCAGTGGGTATATGAACAAGCAAACTGTCTAACTTTGGGCGACAATTCTCGGGTCATTCAAGAGCGACCACTGTATATCCAAAGAGTGACAGCGTGGTGTAGATTTTACGCTGGTGGGGAGACATAAATCAATTTTTTTTATATTCACAATAGAATTTCACCGAGTAACAGGAGATTTAATATTTTGAAACATGTTATTGACAATACAATGCTGACGTCTTTGACTAACTTTTTTTATTACTTCAAACGAAAATGCCTGGATTTTGGTCATCTCAAAGCACCAAATTTTAAACACACAATAAAGATAAGAATTAGGACTATAGACAAAAAAATCAATCCAAAATCTGAAATTCAGTCCCAAAATAGAATAGCACGGGACTGGTGTTTTCTTCAAGGGGAAAAACGTCATTGGATGAAAATATTCTACAACAGATTATTCCAAACAGGGTGCTGCAACAAAGCTCCATTATTTTGTAGTAACTTTTTTTTGAATTCAGCAAAAAATTCACTTCCTCGTTTAATATTTGTACATTGTAATATAGGTACCACACTTTGTGTAGACAATTGTTCGTTTTCGAGTTTTTTACCTCATTTTTAATAATGGAACTTAGTTAGGACATCATCCTCCAGGTATTTTAATGGGAGAGGTTGACTTAGAAATAATATTTAATTATTGAAAAAACATGTATTCTAATTAACTTCTTTATTATACAGGGTGATTTTACTTTAAATACAGAAACTGCAGGAATAGATTAGTTGCCAAAAAATAAGTAGAGTTTGGTAATGAATCTAGTCCTGTAGTTTCTGTATTTAAAGTAAAATCACCCTGTATAAAATACGAAGTATTTCATTATTTACTGAGAATCCGTATACCTTAACCACGGACCATGAACTAACCTACACCAATTACTGTACCTAGCGTAAAACCACAAATTAAAAGGCCGAACCCATTTGCTTGCGTTTCAACTTTCAACCGAGCGACATCGTTACGATCCTCAAAAGTGGCAGTTTATCAACTGGCGCCTCGCCATCTGTGGGTGCGACCAAGTTATGGCTTCATGGTGTTCTGGTTTATTCGAATTAATGGCCATATCAATTTACAGTTGCAGCGACACGATGTGTACAAGCGGTCGATTTAAATTTACACTTAGTCAGATATATTAAATAAGGAGTGGGACATCATATTTTTGGGACTACTGAAATATCTGTAAGTGCGAGTATTATGTTAAAGGTTATCGAATGAACATATCTCGTCTACATTGTTTTTTTTATAGGATACAACAGTATTTCAAAAGGTTTAAATAACATAATAGTTATTTATGATACAAGTGTTAAAAGGGACATTTATAGGGGAATGAGCGTAGCGAGTCGAGCAACCCCATGAACAAAATAAAATCACTTTTAACAAATGTATCATACAATATTTTATGTAAATCTGTCATTAAAAAAATGCCGTGGGTGGGTTTAAACTCCCGACCTATTCCTATTATTGAAGCTGTCTTTAAATATTGTAAATTTTGTGGCTAAAAAAAAAAGGATTTTGAAGAAAATACGGGAAATGAAAGTAATTCACCAGGTGCTGAAGAAGCCGCAAATAGGGCAACTTTAGATCTGTTGTTCCAGAAATATGATATAGCGCAAAGACTTATTGAATTATGTAAAATGAAGAAAGTAGCAGACAAGTTCACTGAAATATATTTTTGGCGTACTTCGAAGAAAAATGTAAGTTATGGAAGGCATCAACACTGTGGTCTAATTACTTTATGATAAACACTAGTTTGCAGATCAAGAAAAACGTGGATATAAGCAAGTATTATAAGCTAATAGCGTTTTAAAAGGAAATTGTGTAGGATATCGACCAAAAAAAAAAAAAACAAAAATATTTACTAGCCAACAAATCCAATTCCATTCAAATAATACATTTTTTAATGAAGCTCCAAACCCCAAATATCTAATGATAAAAGTTTCATCAATTTTTGTTTTTTTTTGGAGTATGCCGTCTTAAATTGGATTGAATGATATTGAAAAATCAGAAAACTTCTTTTGATTCATATTTTGGAGACTAAAACCAACTTTTGTCGTAGTTTTTGTATCGTTGTATCTACATGAATTATTACCATAAATATGCTGCATTAAGGCAAGCCGCCGTTACTCACCGTCGCTTTTTTCTAAATTACCTTAAGGACAAATATACTGTTCACCTGTTGGGATAAATACTTCTGGGAAGATTCCTACTAATATTGCCGAATTTCTGAAATTGCCATTGTTTCCGAAGATCTTCGGCATCTTTGTTAGCAGATTCGGAAGCCAATTTAATTACAATAAAACGACATGGTGGATGGAAATCATCAGCCGTTATTGGGGGCTACATCGAAGAGAAGAAGATGAAAATTGAGCAAAATGATGTGGGTGTGTCGGTTTGGTTTGGCATAATTGCTGTTCGCTTCGCCCAGTTTAGTGCAGCCTTGGCTTTAGATATCCAGCTTGTACTCCAAATTATGAAAAACTATATTCGGACAACGTTAAATTGTTTCGTCAGACTTCGGTCTGACGATTTATAGCTAAATTTGAATCAGATAGTGCCTACTTATTTATTTAAAAGTAATAAACACATTGTTAGTTGGAGATATATGTATGGAAGTAATCAGTAAATTTTATAATCTTGTTTCATTTTAGACGCAAATTAGTGATATGAAATAGTTTATATTTGTTTAATGATTTCTTTTTGTTGGCTTGGTTTTACCATAAGGGGAGTGTTATCTATACGGAAATAACCAATGATAGGAAATTTGGAAAATATTTGTGTAGTGTAATATCTTATTAAATATGCGCGCCTTATTAACAATAAAAAAACAACAAACTCATCGGATGTTCAAAGATTACACCACCACACAAAAAAAAAGTTGTCTGAAATGTACATGCGACATATGATTTCCCATGTATTTTCGCCCACTGAACACGAATCCGGAGTCAGAATTGCTCCATCACCCTTCAATTTTCAGCAAAACGCTGAAGAATCTTCTGAAATAGGAAAATTTTCATTTTTCAGCGTTTTTCTGAAAATTGAAGGGTGATGGAGCAATTCTGACTCCGGATTCGTTTTCAGCGGGCGAAAATACATCGGAAATTATATGTCGCATGTACATTTCAGACAACTTTTTTTTTGTGTGGTGGTGTTATTTAAGAATTTTGGCAACACTAAAAATTGCAATTTTTAATATAGTTTATTGACGTTGAAAATAGTTAAAATCGCGTTTTTTCGAACTAAAACAATTGTTAATATCTCGAAAACGGTAGATTTTAGAGAAAAGTTGCATAGGGACATTTTTGTTCAGGATACCCCAAAAAAAAGCCTAGAAAAATTTGTTTCGAGCGAAAAAATCGAAAATTACAAATTTGTTTAAAAAAATTGTTTAAACAATTTTTGATCGTCTGGCAACATGTGGATATGTTTCAAGGGTCATTTCTTTAATAAGATTATGAAAAAAAATATATATATCTAATGTGAATCATGTTCCTAGCGGGAGCGACGATACAGCCTGGACTAATTCGTTCTTGTATGTTGTTTATTAAAAAGAAGTAAATTTTTATATTTCAATAAAAACACTACAAATTTATGTGTATGTATCAACCCAATAAATTACTTTTCCTGTTATCAGAAATCTTAAGGGACTTCGTTTCATGGTCTTCAATGTTCCGTTCTAAATTGAGTAACTACAGAAAGAATTGCCAAAAGAATATTTTCTGAAAATCTAAATTATGAAAACTTGTTTATATGCATATTTATGTATTTTGCAAAGTTTTGAGTAAAGCATAACTAAATAAGATTATTAATAAATTTCCTTATTTAAGAACACGAATCTTCATTTTTATGGGTATTTACTACAAACTGCTCTTCTACTTTTTCAGAGAGAACCGGTGGTTCCGGAAAAATTGAATTTTCAAAGCCTCCCTCACCTGTAATTGCGACAGAGGGTGGAAATGCATCCTTTTGTGTTCGATTTTCGTCTACAATGAATGAACATCCAGTAATACAATGGAAAGTAGCAGGAAAAGTTGTTACACCTTCAGAGAAATTCAGGGTAAGTTAAATATGTTTTGTGTGAAATACAAAAAAATAGCCAGATACATTTTTAATTAAAGTTAAATTGTTGTCTAATTAATTGTATACTTCTGTACATTTATTTTGGATGCGAATATTTTGCAGTTTCCTAAATTTTCTAATTATAAAGGGTGATTTCACTTTAAATACAGCAACTGCAGGACTATATTCATTACCAAAAAATAAGTAAAGTTTGTTCTATAAACTTTTCTCCTACGGGACTCGGTATTCGAGATACAGGGTGTTAAAGTTTAAACAAAAATTTATTTATTCTGCTGTATCTTCATAATACGTTGACGGAATTGAATGAAATTTACTACAAAGTATTTACATAATTAGACCTTTTATTGAATGTAATATTAATCTTATGGCTTTAACCAGTGGCGTGCTACTGGAGGTGCCACATCATTTTCCTTAGAAAAAAATACGCCACTGGCGGTTTTTTTGTAGAAGTCATTTTATTTCTGGAAAAATCTCAAAACTAAATAATAAAATAACATTAGCAAATAGTCCGAATAAGTAATTAAGTAACGAATCCTACAATTATCCAAAACGAAGTTCTTCCGCATCGATACACTTTTGCTTTTGGCATCTTCTAATCCATTTATAGAGGAACTTATCATGACATGATTTTCCCTGAGGCGATTACAATTTTTCTCTATTCTTTCCCACAATTCGTCTCGTGTTCATAAGCACAACAAGGACTGCAGCTTCAGAAATAAATAAACAAAGCTAGTTATAACACTAAAACGAGATCATCGTAAAGCTGATAATACAAACAAAAGATTCTGATGGATTTTAAACAAATATGAGTAGGTGGACTAAATTTGCGCATTATGGTCGTCAAATAAGTAAATTATCTCCTAAACGGCTGATACTATTAAAAAACACCAAAAACTACTTTTAATTCATTTATTACATTCAATAAAAGATCTAATTACGTGAATACGCTGTAATAAATTTCATTCAAATCGTTCGGCGTGATATGAAGATATGTTCGAACATATAATTTTTTTTGGAAACTTGAACACCCTGTATCTCGAATACCACGTCCCACAAGAAAAAAGTTTATAGGGCAAACTCTACTTATTTTTTGGCAACTAATCTATTTCCGCAGTTTCTGTATTTTAAGTGAAATCACCCTGTATAGTAATATTGTATATAGCCATTTAAAAAAAATCGAAAAATGTTTCAATATCGAAGTACCTGATTATAATAATGAAGATAAATTAAAACAAAATATTTAATAAAGTTATCATATACCTGTGTTCGTGTGTAAATAGTGTAAATAAAGCAATTTGTTCATAAATATACATTAAAACGTAGTATTCTTGTGGTTTCTACAGGACCATAATTTAAATATAAAATTTCCGCTGCCTAATTTCGACATTAAAAGAATATTAACACACTTTCTTTTCGTGCAAATTTTGCATACCGGATTTGACAGATATTGTTCAATTTACGTACAATAAATGCCTGATACGTTTTCCAAAACTTCACATATTTCTCCGATTTATTTCCTTGCACATACTCGTATATAGAAAGTAAATTATCATTGCTCACAAATATTCAACGCCCGATTTCAAAATAAAAGTGAAACTTGAAGAAAATGCGAACTTCATTATATTTGTCATAAAAGCATTGCACATTCCGATTATATAAGTAACGCGATGATTTTATTATGACACAGCTTTATAATTTAAAATATTTTCGTGTATATTTACGCGATGAATCGGACAAAGAAGCAGCCTTTCATTGAATTTAATTACATATATTTAACTTTTGGTTATTTTCTAGTGGAAATCTAATCACTACATACTGTCTGTGATCTTAAATTATCTTTACTTGTTTTCAAATCAGCGAATTTTTGTTTTCTTTTTATCACACAATTGTTGAAAATTTTGGAAAGCAGATTGCTAAAATTAAATGCGATACATAAGTATCGAATAGAATGGCATGCCATTTAGAGACACCCAGTATATCATCTATCCGTTAATGAATAATCCTCAAAACATGCAAAGGACAGTAACTGAGCGGATGTAGATACAGACTGTACATAAAATAAGTTTAAAGAGTGAAGCAAACTTTTTACAATACCATTAAGTTTATATGGACTGCTGTCGTCTTTGGCATGCGTTTTATCGTAAACGTTAATCAAGGTTGCCGCGAAAATAGTAATAATGTATATTTATGTTAGAACCCACGTACTGTTTATGCGAAAATATAAACATACTATTAAAAAGAAATATTTATGGTATATTTTATGGTTTCTGTTTAAGACACGAGTTGCAGTTTTTTTTTTTGTAATGTGATGGTAAAAGAAATTGTTTATCTGAAACCTCCACCTCTGGCTTTTTTGGTCAAACCGATATTTCCTCTATATAAAAAATAGTGTTAGATACAAACGAGTAAACAAAAATACTTAGAGTATCCAGTAATTTTTATATCGGGTGTCCCAGAAAACAGTCATAGATTTCTCAGTTGCATTTAAGTCAATTTACTTTAGTCCAAAAATTGTTCGTCTAAAAGTTGCAGGGTATTAAAATCTTACTTTGCAAATGGTTTTTCATCAGAGGCAAAAAAAATATCTGATTCAAATTTAGTACACGTTATAAGGGTCCACGAAGAAATAAAAATTATCTTCAACTTTATCATTCACTGCGTCAGTGAAGAAATACATAATAGCTTCGGTTGTGAAAAAAAAAATTAAATTTATACATGTGAAATATTTAAAATCCCCGTATAGCCCAGTCAATATCTGTTTCGGAATGGATGTTTTATACAGGGTGGGCCATTAGTGTGAGAAAGTAAAATAACTCCCTTGTTATTCATAGTATAGAAAAAAAGTTTATATAAAAGTTGTACAGAATCAAAAAACCCAAAGGAAATAAATTCGAAACAAACAGGGTGATGAGTAAAAACGGGACACGCCAAATATTACATTTTTTAAATAGAAGACCCTGGATATTTTTAAACATATGGATTTCTGAGAAAATTCTGTATATGGCAATATAAACAGTTTAATATTTTAATGCGGGGTTGCCAAGTTATGTAGAAAATTTTTCGAATTTTGGAAATAATATAGCCTCGAAGAAGTTGTATTAACTTTCAACTACTAACACTGGGAGCATATTTGACAGAGTTATAGGTAAATGTTAGGCAAAGACTCCTATATTAGTTAGTATCGATATTTTATACAGATAATTTTTTATAATACGATCATTTTAAGAAAGTTCAAACTTGATTTTCTAAAATATTTCAAATGGAACACCCTGCATTTTATTGTTCTATTTTATTCACATATTGATCCACTTCAACTTTTATTAAGTATGTTCTACACCTAAAGTTGTTAGTTTTTAAAATATAGCAACATTTCTGGAAAAACCTAATTTTTATTATTTTCGGTCGCACGAAATGGCTTTTAGAAAAAACTGTCAGTTCATAATTTATCATTCCATTTTGAGTTAATTTAATTTAATTAATATTTATTTGTGGTATTCTATAAAATAATAAAAATTAAGTTTTTCCAGAAATGTTGCTAAGCATATCTTAAAAACTAACAATATATAGAACATGCTTAATAAAAGTTGAAGTGGTACGATATGTGAATAAAATAGAATAATAAAATACAGGGTGTTCAGTTTGAGAACTTTAGAAATTCTAAAAATGATTGTATTATAAAATATGCCCTGTATAAAATATCGATATTAGCTATTATAGGAGTCTTTGCCTAACATTTGCCTATAACTCTATAAAATATTTAGGCTCCAAGTGTCAGTGTTTAAAAATATACAGGGTGTTCCATTTAAAAAATGTAATATTTGGCGTGTCCCGTTTTTACTCATCACTCTGTATGTATCAAATTAATTTTGTAGTTTAGGTTTCTTGATTCTGTATAACTTTTATAAAAACTTTTTTTCTGTATTATGAGTAACAAGGAAGTTATTTTATTTTCTCACACTAACGGCCCATCCGGTATAATAACGCTAATTTTTGTTGGGAGTAGTTCTAAATATTATGTAGAATAATAATTGCGCCCACTGAAAAAGTTGTGCATAATTGTTAGCGCAAGAAAATTTAAAAAAATTAAAAAGGCACATTTTTCTCCCTTCTTTAATGGTAAAAGGAAAAAAAAGTTTCGCTCATATAGTCCCCCCACTCTTCACTCTTTGACTCTCTGCTCGATTCCTTTGAAATATATTAATCTTTTTTGCGTCAGAACAGTTAAAATATATTTCCGATTTAAAAAATTTTCATAGATATAAAGTCTTTGCGTCAAACAATCAAAATCACTTTTTATTGATATTGTACAGTACGTTGTTTTGCCGCAAACTCATTTCAACTTTGAGCTTTCGTATCTCGATGACGATTCATCGTATCCACAAGATCAAAAGTGGATTTTGTTCATTAATCCTTCCTCTATTTGATCATATAATTACATTTGAAGAATATGCAAATATGGTAGCTCCAGCTCTAAAAGTTTATCAGTATTTTTTCGAAGAAATTTTGAAAAAATTCTAATTGTCGCTAAAATCAGTAAAATCGAAAAATTTTATATAGGAATTGATAGTTGAGACTCCAAAGGGTATGTATAAAAATTGGAAGCTCAAAAGAATCATTGGTTTTACCGTGACAGAGAATTGAAAGATAAGTTTAACTCTGTATTTTCTTAATTCACAGTTCAATTGTATTGTGCGAAAATGTGCAATACTACCATACTATGAAGTACTCAGAACCATACTTTATAAATTCATGAAATAACGATATTTTTTCACGATTTTTTTTTTCGGTCCATAGGTACTGTACTGCAGCAACAATAATGCACATAAAAATATCGGATCACTTTTATTTTGAAGAGAATCCCAAAAGAAAACTCTTTTCCTTCGACTATTTTCTCTTATGTCAATATTCTTCGAGTTATACATGAAAGAATGGAGAAAAATGCGCCTTTTTTAATTTTTTTATTATTTTCTTGCGCTA